GATTTAAGTCAACTAAAGAAAAAGCCACTAGGCTACACCTTTCAGAACAAAGTAGTGTTGGAAGCACATCTCTACTCGTTTAGTGGGGATAACGAAAGCAAATTTGTGAAGAAGCCGTTAAACATAATATGCAACGAAATTATGGAGAAGTTTGAACGAGAAGCTGGGTTCGTGGTGGACATGAAGAATCCGTATCCTTTGTTCATTAGTGAATTTGGGTATGATCAATCGGGGAGCAACGAGGCTGAGAATCGGTTCATGAGCTGCTTTTTGGCTCGAATTGCGGAGAAGGATATTGATTGGGCCTTGTGGGCGTTCCAAGGAAGTTATATGTATAGGCAAGGTCATGAAGATCCTGATGAAAGTTTTGGTGTTATGGATCACTCTTGGACTAAAGATCGTAACCCAAAACTTAAACAAATGCTTCAACTTATCAAGAGAGTGAATCAAGGTTAATTGGTTGCTTCTAAATATTATAACATGTTTGGTTAGAATTTGAAACTAAAGCTCTTATTTTTGCAGATCTAAATTCCAAAGCACCAATGTCATACATAATGCTACATCCGGTATCAGGGCAATGTGTCAAATCCGATGGCAAAGGAGGAATTGAACTCGGCGATTGTGCCACTCCAACCCAATGGAACCATAGTGGAGATGCAAGTCCGATGAAGTTGTTATCAAACGGGCAGTGTTTGAAGTCTGCTGGAGATGGCAAATCGCCAATCGTATCCACTGACTGCTCCGGTGACGAATACAATTGGACAGTGGCTTCCAAAGCAAAGCTCCAATTGTCTACAAAAGTTGGCGAAGATAGTTTTTGCTTGGAGAAGGAATCTGATACTTCAATTATTGTGAAGAAATGTATTTGTCTAGATGCAGAGAGTTGCATGGATGATCCTCAGAGTCAATGGTTCAAGCTTGTTCCAACCAACGTGGCTTAGTTTATTAATTAGTTTAATAAGAATTTAGAATTTTGTCAATAATATCCTAGTCAGGGTTGACATGAAAGTTTTGTAAATGTCGAGGTTATATTAGGATCGATTTTATGCTTAAAATCGTAATTAAACGATCAATAAACTTTTCTATTATTTATTATATGTCCAATCTTTTATACAATCATTGTTTAATTTTTAATATGTTTATAAAACGTGAACCTGAATAGAATTAGAGATAAAATAGGAGTCAATTCAAAGTTGGCATGTCGTATATTTATTCTTCATAATACATAAGCAACTCACAATGTGTTGGTTTTAACAAGTTCAAACCATTGACTTCGGGTATCTTGGAGGCAATTTGGAGCACCATTAGTGCAAATACACGAGTTTGTCACAATTTTTGAAGAATTAGAGCTTTCGACCTGCAAGCAAAGACTTTTCCCATCTTGAGATATGGTGGCCAAATGAAGCTTAGTGTTTGAAATGGCGCTCCAAGAACTCTGTGGGCCTAAGCAGTCTGTTGAGAGAGATGGCGTAAGGCCTTCTCCAATTGTTTTTAAGCATAAACCCATGCTTGACATCCTAATTGGAGTGCTATCGTTGTCATGAGTCCATCGACTTGAGATAGAGCAATTACCCATGAAAATATCTTTGTTGTCATTTGAGACTTGGATGCATTGGCCACTTTGTGGATGATATATAACATACGAGAACGATGCATTGGAATTTGGATCTGTGCACCATAAAAGAATTTCTTATACACTTGTTATAGATCCATATATTCAAAATCATTAGTATATTTATGCTTACCTTGTAACATAGTCTGCAATAGCTGAAACTTCTGGACAAAGTTAGGATTTTTAATTTGAGTCCAATTGGAGTCGAGAACTCCAAAAGTTTCTCCCGGCTCTGCTTGACCTTCCCTATAATAATAGCTACCTTGCCAAGTCCATAATGCCCAATCTAAATCTTTTTGTGCAAGATGAGCTGTGAAGCAACTCATGAACCGGTTTTCTGCATCGTTAACCTCTCTTTGATCATACCCATATTCGCTGACAAACAAAGGAAATGGGTTTGATCCTTCCGTTACAAATTCAGCATGGTCTACAAAGCCATTGATAATATTTGCACAGATATTATTTAGTGGTTGGTTTATGAATTTACTCTCTGGATCTCCACTAAACGAATACAAGTGCACTTCAAAAACCAACTTGTTGTCTAAGGTGCTTACATTCAAGGGCTTCTCTTTTAAGCATCGAAGATCATTATCATAATTTAGGCCCGAAACAATCACTAAAACATTTGGGTTAATGTTGTGGATTGTTGTTACTCCTTGAGTAACATAATTGTTCCAATCATTTGCATTTTCATTGGTTCCTCGTATCTCATTTCGTAAGCTCATTCCAACCACCTAAATGTCATAAAAAAAAACAAAAACAAAAAAAAAATCTTTTGTTAATGAAAAATTATAGAAGTCTTTAAGAGTTTGAAAATTTTCCTTAAATGTTTACGTACAGTTGATTTCTTGGAAAAGCGTTGAGCGACTAAGCTAAGACCTTGTAGCCATTCTTGAGGGTCAAAATAGCGGTCTCCAAAGAAGCCATTGCCATCATCAAGAGAGCAACACCATCTTGGCTGACTAATATGGTTGTCTGCAATCACCATTAAACCACTCTCTCCAAGCACATCAACAACAGCTTCATAAGCTTCAGCAATAGTCTTGTTCAACACAAAAGGATTATTTTGAGCCAATCCAGCTTTTGCTTGTTCTAAATCAAGAAGGTCAAAATTCTCTTCAACTGTCCTATTTGCATAACGAGTGAACATTTGAGTTGCATACGTGAGTCGTACACAATTAAACCTCAACTTGATTGCCTCATCTGCTAGCTCTTTTAATGGCCTGTGGTTGAGACCTTCTATTAGCATGCTCTGTGTGTGGGAAGGCCAATTCACGCACACAAGCTTCACTCGACGCCCTGTTGTCGAATCAATGATCCACTTTTCTTTTGTTGACAACGGTAAAGAATAAACATAAGGAGATAAAAACACAAACAGTGCTAGAAAAAAAACAACTTGAAAAATTCTTCCCATTTTTTCTTCTCTTTTATGAATCCGGGTGAGAGAAGCATATCCCAAAGGTTGCTTATATATCTCTTTAATAAGTTGAAATTTGTTCAGAAGATCAAACATCAAAAACTCCTTCCATTTTTTCTTACTTCAATTGGTTTGTTAATAAAGTTGGTTGGTTAATCAATTGTGTTTCTAATTTTGGTAATTTGTTGAGTAATAAAAAAATATTTCTAACAAAGCTAGCATGGTTCATAAATATCTCGCCCACAGAATCAATATTTTAATATTATCAACTCGAAGCTTATTTCCATCTCAAATTAAAAATTAAATAGTAACTAATAAGTTCTTATATAGAGATTTTTTTCACTTAATAAATCATAATTTCATAAAATTATTTTAACTAAATTAATAAAAATAAAATTCTCATTTTAAGAAAATGTAATAAAATTATTTAAAATATTTTATTTATACAATTTTCCTACCATACTATGCATTTATTAATTTATTTATTTAGATTATTATTTAGATCTCACTTGAGCCATTTATGCCCTTATTTAATAATAATAATTGTCTGCCTAATTAAAAAAGATTTAAACGAGACTACAATCGAGTATAGTTATATATATATATATATATATATATTTTTTTTTTTTTTTTTTTTTTTAGAACTTAAATATTTAAAATATTCTAAACGTTGAATTTTGATGTTGCATATTAGAAGATCTAGAGCATATAATAAATTGCAAGGTGGTTCTTGCTGATTCACACGGGATTCCACGTGCCCCATGCTACTCGGGTCAGAGCGTAAGCTAGTGATGCTTTCGGCTACTGGACTCTCGCCATCTAGGGTGCAGCACTCCACCGCTTCGCCTAGCAGCACGACGCTTGTATTGCTCTCCCACAACCCCGTTTTCACGGTTTAGGCTGCTCCCATTTCGCTCGCCGCTACTACGAGAATCGCTTTTGCTTTCTTTTCCTCTGGCTACTAAGATGTTTCAGTTCGCCAGGTTGTCTCTTGCCTGCCCATGGATTCAGCAGCAGTTTGAAAGGTTGACCTATTCGGGAATCTCCGGATCTACGCTTATTTTCAACTCCCCGAAGCATTTCGTCGCTTACTACGCCCTTCCTCGTCTCTGGGTGCCTAGGTATCCACCGTAAACGAAATTTAGACGGCTTTGTCTTTTTGACCGTAAACAATTCGATGTATAGTTCGACGTATAGTTTGACTATTCGATTATGATGTCACCTTTTGAATTTGATTATCGGGAAGGAGAAAAAATGATGTCTATAATTTTGTCCCCACTAATAAAATAATTAATTGCCCATCTAGCCTTCTTTTTTCAAACAATTTCTTTTTCTTTTTCTTTTTTCTCAATAGTTAGTTAATGTAAAGTTTAAAAAGTCACGACTTTAAATTCATACCAACTTTAGAAGGGACGACCCAACACACCAAGTTGGTTTTGGATTAGTGGGTCATTCTAAAAATTTTACCAAGCTTTTAGGGTCCATCAAAGGGTCCATCAAAATTGTAACGCGTCATGTCTAGGATAGATCAAAATTTGTAATCTAGATTCGACACCTGATGGCTTTGAATACTGAGCATGGGACGTTGCAAATGGTATTAGAACGGTACCTCTCTCAATAAGATGTGGTTCGAAAACAAACTAATGTGAAAGCTGGTAGGTATATGACACTCGAGCAAATGAGGGGTACATGAATGAACCGAGATCACTTCCAAATGAGAGGGATCCTGATAATATGATAGCTAAGAAAGATCTTCATGATTAAGTATATTTTGCTTCGAACAATTCTATGTTGCACGTGACCTCTTGATAATTTTTCTAGGGTGCATGCGAGTAAGAACAAAGCATGCCGTAAGAACTCGGGTTAGTTTGTGGGAATAGTTTTCAATTTAAGAAACAAAGAGTAAGTAACGTGAGCATATCAAATCCTAGACATGAGTCGTTACAAAAGTTTGGGAATCACACTAACTCAGGGTCAAACAAATTCTACTAATATAATTACATAAGCAAAGTAAAAAAGTAATATATTCCACAAAATGAATAGCTAACGAACGCACTATAGTTATAAATTTTAATACTCCTCGTAATCCAAAACTATGAACTTAGTAGTCATATGGTTTCAAATTCCTCCTATAATCCTTCATTAATCAGATATTTTTACACGTTCATCACAATCTTCCTTTTCAATCGTTTGGGTTTTAGCATTGTAAGTGAATGAACACTCTAATTTAACTTCAAACATTTTCTTGATGAATCCAATTATTTTGACCCTTCCTGGGATTTCCATGTAGCTACTGATATTCAAACCTCCCGACTTCAAATCCTCCATCAAACTCAAACCCTCATCCATTTCCTCCGCCTTGATCTCCACAGTCACATTCATCGTCATCGTGTCCTTTGCCTTCGCCTCTCCCCCCGGCGTCTCCCCCTCTCCGATCATCGCGCCGTGGTAGTAAATCATCATCGTGGCTTTTGAGTATTTGAATGATGCAACATTAGGATTCCGCACGAAGACACTAGCCACAATGATTATACCGCCGTCTGAGAAAGAAGAACGGTGAATTTTAGATGATTATTAAAACTCATTCAAGTACAAAAACTAAGCGAGAAGCTTAAATAATTGGATGATCTGAACTAACACAAATAATTAAATTAAATACCTAACAATACTCTATTTTTTTTTTTTTTGACCTAATCAAATTCTTCGAACATTAAACTTACTCGAAGTAGTATTTGAAAACGAGAGCTTGTCAATTTTGAGATCTGGGGTTTTGATATGGAGGACGGTGAAGCCGAGGACGATGCCGATAACGGCGAGGATTAAGAGGAGTGCGGCGAAGCAGCCGGAGCACATGATGTATTTGTTTCTATGGAGGCGGAGCTTGGCCGGAGGAGGAAGAAACTGATCGTCGTCGCTCCGGAGATGGGTGGCGGGGGAAGCCAAGGGTTTGACCTGGTCTTTCTCGGGCATGGCTATGGGGAAATGATCGTAAAAGAAGGGATATGTTGGGTATTTAATTGTTGGGATTCAAATTCATTTTTATTTTTTAGTTTTTTTATTTTATTTTTGAATTATAAAAGTCAGTGTTTTTTAAAATAATTAGTTTGTCAAAAATGCGTGTTGATTTGGGCAAAAGGTTGACTCGATCAGCTTTGAATAACTTGTACGTCAAGAAGGATATGAATATAAATAATTTTAAATTACAAAATTTGGTATTTTTTAAATTTAGAATTTTTCATTTCAGCATTGAATTTTCTAAACAAAAAATAAATATTACTATTCATATTATTGATTTATTTTAAAATATTTGACCAAATTATATAGAACAAAATTTAAAAAAAATTAAAATTATATAAATCAAATTTGAAAAAAATTGTATAAATTATGAGAATAATTAAAGTTTTTAAAATTATGAGTTTTTTAATTATGGTAATCATTTATAAAGGTTTGAAGTATGAAAAATAATAATTTAATTGTGTTTTATGATTTATTTTAAAATAATATTAAATAAAATGTAATAAAATATGATTTTTAATATATCCATTAATGGTAGTCCGTCGAATTATCCTAAATAAATAAATAAAAAGTATTTATATTTATTGATATATTTTTTTAAAAATACATGTTACATTTTCATTAATTATAAAATTCGACCTAAAGATAAACACAAATTATAAGAAAAATCAAAAGCGAAAGTGTGGAAAAAAAAAAGTCCAACGTGGAATTATCGTAATTTTTTTTTTCTTTTTTTACTTTTTAATTTCTTTTTAAAACGAATTAAATTAGGAAATACCAATTATGCATAGACTTTCAAAGCAAGAAGAATGGTGAGAATGATAATTATAAAATAGTTTTTTTTTTCGAATAAATCATAAAATAGTTTTTTCTCCATTTAAAATAACTTTAAAACATCTATATGTAGGAGAGGCATTTTTTTTTACATGAAAATTAACTAAATCATGATTGAAAAAATCGTTAATTAAAGAAATTTAATAAAAGATCTTCCTCTACGAGCGAGCAAAGATTTTGGACGCCATGGGAGGTCAAATTCAAGGTCGACATAGTACACACTTCCAACGCAGAAATCTTTTTCACCTTAAACCATTTCAATAAATGAACCCTTCCCTCAAATTCCGTGATGCAGCTCATATTCATCGTCTTCTACCTTCCCAAATTGTGGCTGAAGTAACACACCATTAACGAAGCTCGGATTTGGTTTCACTTTTTCACTGTAAACTTCGTTTTTTTAATACTCATTGCATTTACAGAGAGACCCTTTTCACCTCGCCGATGTAAATCGACGTGATGTTCGTCTTTTTCCTCGTACTTGAACTGCCCGAAATTGGGATTTTCCCGTGTTAATTCGGCGATTAATGTGGCGTCCATGGAAGGGGTCGACGAGAAGCCGTAGTGCAGATTTTTTACTGCGACGGAAGACCGAGGGTCAGGGCGACGATGCAGGCGATGGAAGCGATAGCAAAGAGGTAAATGCAGGAGGTATTGATGTATTTTTCTGATGCTTTTCGCCTTGGTCGGAGTGTCGCCGGCAGGTCGCCAGATGTTTCGTCGGCCGCCATTAATTCCGGTTGGTGGTGGAGGAGGATGAGGGGATTTGTAGGGCTGTGAAAGGAATGGTTTTATAGAAGTGGAAGGGGATATGATAAAACGGTGGTTCATTTTTTCCATTAATTTAGTTCTTCAATGGGTTTTAATTGTCTCTGACAAAAATTTAAATGAACATAATATCACAAAAAAAATAGAGAGTAATTAGGGTTCTCGAGTTCATCAAAAATTATGATTCTAAATCACTCACAAACCCAACGAGGCTGAATTTGATGAGTGTTCAAATCCAGATTAATGGAACAACTAATCTCCGACCAAATCCTCTTCCTTAAAACATGAATCAAACGAATTCTCCCTCCAAATTTCGCAAAGCTACTCATATTCAAAATCCCCGAACCATTCAAATCGCTGCTAACATTCTCCACAGAAGCTTCAACAGAAACATTCATCCTCGTCGTCCCCTTCGCCTCAGCCCTACCCCCGCCAGTACTCCTTTCGCCGACGATGACGCCGCCGTACATGAAAACGACGGTGACGTAATCGAAAATGAAGGGACTGAAGTTCGAATTGTCGACGGAGAATTCAGCAATCAAGGTCAGATTAAGCGAGGAGGAAGAGGAATTAGTATTAGAGATGGAAAACTTACGGACGGAGATGGAAGAGAGGTCGATGGTCGGGGAATTAACGCGCACAACGATGAGAGAGAAGATCAGAAGGGCGACGCAGAGGAAGACGAAGGCGGAGAAGAGGTAGATGAAGCATTTGTTGGATGGTTCGTTTTTGGGAGTTTTGTGGTGAGCTTGGGAGTGTGGCAATGGAAAGCTGTGGGTGTGTTCGCCCATTGTTGTTGCAGAGAAGAGAGGAAGAAGAAGAAAAAAAGAAAGGATTTTATAGGGAGAGTGGAAGAGCGGTTACTGAAATTAGTGGGAATGGAAGGAGTCCGTAGACGGTTATGGAGTGAGCCGGCGGGGTGTCTGTTTCAGGCCACGCATGTTGCCTTTGGCTAACCAAAGTGTCACATCAAGGGGCCACATGTCCGGCAGTGGTGATGGGACCGCCAGGTCACGCGCCAGCACATAAGCTGCTGAGCTGATGGATTGACTACATGTCAAGGGCATTTCACCTCTAATACATATTTTAGCTACGTGAGCTTGATATAGTCCAAAGCTTAACTTGAGCTACTCTAGCATAGGGTTATAGCCAAGCTTTTAACTTGAGCTACTCGACCATAGGGTTATAGTCGCATAGCGCAACTGGTTATAGTCAAGCTTAACTTAAGCTACTCGAACATAGCACAACTGATTATAGTCAAGCTTAACTAGTTAAGACCAGTACTCTAAACCCAAGTGCCTATGACTTCTTTTATCCCACGTGTTTGAACTCGAAGAAAAAAAGAAAATTGATAGAAATTCAAAAAATATGGACAGAATGACCATTTGATGAACAAAATATATAACTGTGATTTATATTTACATAAATGAATCAAAGCTGAAACTCTACACCAGCAATGACAATATAGATAGATGGATTCCTAAAAGCTATAATCTTAGAAAACAAAACAAAACGAAACGAAACAAAATGGAAGAAAAAGGAAGTAGAGCCGATAAGAAAAGGCATCCTAATTCCTAGTTCCACCACAAACTATTACAGCTTTTGCTTTCGGGATTTCAAAACTGTGTCCTAATGCCCACGGCCACTACTCAATCACCTTCCAATCGGGTCATTATCAACCAACCAGTTCATTGAAGCTGTAGCCTCCTAACAACATGACAGCACAGGTCCATCACCTCCCATCAATTTAATAAACAAGACCCAAGGCATCATCCTAACCTGAACACAGGCCAGGAATAATTTCCAACTAAGTTCCGTTTCGTTTCTTCAACCAGGAATTTTCACGGTTGTACTAAGTACTAAATGGCCAAAGTCTCATTATTTTTATACATATACTCTCTTCTATTTCCAAGGTTATTTCTGTTTCCTTTCCTGCCGAAAAACTGTACTATACAATTTTTCTGACAAATGGGAAGAGGCCTTCCAGGTATACATAAATATACGGGGAGAAGTTAAAGTTACGAATATGTGTACCCGCAAACTGTATTCTCAGAAGTGTTCCTTGTGAAAGTCAAACTTAGTTGGGCCTTGTTGATTGAATTTATAGCAGAGGTTGCTGAGTTCTTTAGCAAGGATTGGAGCTCCACAGTAGAATACTCCTGATCCCAAATAATGTCAAAATGAGAGGAATTAGATTAGGAAATTCAGTTGTTTATCTTCCTGTTATGTTTTGAAGCGTACTCACCTATTTTAGCATTGCAATGCTTGGTACAAATTCTGGAGAATACTTTCTTCCAATTGGGCCTTGCAAAATGAGTTCTGACCTGATTCATGGAAAGGAAAAGGACCTTTCAGAAGATGGGAAATTAGCTACTATCATTTAGAAACCTGAATGTGCAACTAGAATTCGTTGGTTTCTTTGAAGTTCGCGAGAAAAGATCAAGAAACTTATTCGGTACCTAATACCAGAAACAATGTGCACTCCAAAATTTAGAAGCCAATCAGAAAATTGCTTAGAAAGTAGAAATTTACCCGGGTGCCAGAAACTATATCCATCCCATTCTTTGCGTGATTTAGTGCTTGGACCATCGTGATGAGGGCTGATCTAGCGTCTCCTTCCTCGTACACACTGGTCAGGAAGTTGTGCATCTCAATGACACCCTAAGTTTCAAGTCACAAGGTTAAAAGACGAATCCATAGAGACATGATAATCTAACTGAAGTTCTAATATTACCCTTTGGTCCATCTCAGCGACTTCATTCATGACCCCTTTGAACCAATCAAACGAGCCCTGCTCCCTAGTTACCCAGTAAAAGTAAGCATTAGTCGTCTTCACAAATTTCTTTTGCTTAGGAGAAACCCTTGGAGTATTGGAAGAGTCTGTGCTTCCAAAACTGAGATCCGATTCTTTACCGCCATCTTCAATTGAATCCTGAGGAAGGGAAAGCTTTATAATTATCATATTAATGATAAGAGATGACAAGAAAAAGTTTATGCATAAAGCTCCGAATCAAAGATTTTGCTAATTAAATAGGCACATATTAACTGAAAATTCAGGATGGAGTGATGCATGCAGGTACTTACTGCTTGCTCCTCCATTTTGACAATGTTGTTAAGCAAATCCTTCAAGATGCTAATGAAAGGTGTTGCTCCAATACCAAGACCAACAAGTAATAGAACATCATAATTTCTGTAGTCTTGAGCAGGCGCCCCATAAGGTCCATCTATTAAGAGCTTCGGCAAACTGCAATGCATTGCATGTGAAATCAATCTATCAAGAGTATTCCACAGAGATAAGGTCACAATTCGGAAATGAAGAGATTTGAAGATGTGCATACCACTTCTTGGTCGTTTCATCAGCCCTGAGCAACCCACTCTTCCCAGCAACAGGTGGCTCACAGGCTTCAGCAAATACTCTCTTTAACTCTTGTGTCCAATCACCCAGTTGACGTATGTGAACACTCAAATAGTCATCTCCCGGAGCAGAAGTAATCGAAAATGGATGCCTGCAGACAAATATGATAGGCGCAATAGAAAATTACATCTAATGGAAGTATAAATCCTTCGCACACAAAAAATTTCCTTCCTGAACCGCAACAAGTTTCAGTCAAGATTCTTGAAAAATAGTGACAAACTTGTGAAGAACTAGACAGAACATTATAGACATAAATAATAAATAGGATATGACAATGTGATTAAAAACTGCATAAATTCACAAATGTCAAGGCTCCTCTTAGTATCAGATAATTGAGTAACAGAGAAGCTCATTCATTTAATGTCTAGCAAGAGTTATGGTGGGATTTACCACTCAAATGGAGACACAGCAGGACATTGGACAAACATGTACTGTCCACTCTTATACCGGAACTGAGGAGGTTTAGACATTTGTAAAGCAAGAACATTCCCCGGGTAAATAGCCACCTGGAAAAGCAGACACATGGAACGGTTGGAAGACATGAACTTTTTGAAGTCTAGTCTTGACTAGTTTGACATTATATCAGAGAGAGAGATTATGTGCCAATATCATAAGGATTATAACTGCAAATGCGAGTGTTGTCAGAAACCTTGAGGAGCCGAACACTGTAGAAGCCTGAGCGGAAGAATCTAAGTGTCCTTTCTCCAGCATATAGTAAAACTGGGACGGCAAGATACATCCAAGTCTGCATGCAAAAAGCAGTACCTCAGCAAACATTTCTAATTGCCTGGTTAGTGCAAAATAAATTCCCTGTTTGAGCCAAATAGAGAAGTACTAAAAGGTAAGTATCATCATACTTACTGTCTTACGGTACCATCTGTGTTCAAGGTAGAGGAATATGCCATGGATGACGAGCAAGATGTAAACAATGACAAACAGGTGGTGTGAATACCAGAAGGCATTGAAACCAGTCAGCCTATCAAACGGCTTGGGCAGCTTAATCAGGCTCCTCCTAAACCATCGGGTAGCTAGAGTGAATGCTACTGCCATGAAGATGACCATTAGTATACCAGTCACACCTTCCCATCCCTTAACCAAATCTAAGTAGGTTGGCTTTTGTGGGCCGAAGTAGTCCTTCACGTAATTGTAGGTTTCGTTAGATGACTGTACGAGTCTTGGAAAATCACAGGCAAGATGGTTCCCCACATGGAGAATGACACCAAATACAATGGCTGCGGCAATCGTCTGCAGTGCACAAAATTGAATTTAGAGTGTCAAATACTTGATATTCCATATTTCATGGACTCAGGCTTCTTAGACAAACTAAATTCAGGGCATCCAAAAATTACCTTTGTCATCATTGCAGTTTACATTCTAAATAAGTTTGTCGTTGCACTTAAAAACTAGCAAAAATCTTTCACCTTATGGTGATTGATATCCAAATCATATTATCCTTCAAGACATTGTTACAGTTGAACAAACAAGTCAATGACGAGATTTTGTTACAGGAACTAAAAGCATCGAAGGAAAAATCCTTGGTATTTGTTCACTGGTCAAGATTTTGTTCGGTTGAACAAACAAGTCAATGACGACTGCTGAATTTTGTTGAAGCTATCTTTATTCTTTAGTTCAATTTATAGGCTAACAAAACCTGTGTATTGAATAATTAACTTTCTATTCTTTGGATAAATAGGTACATTGGAATGCCCATATCCGCGGAGTTATACACCCAGATTTGTTATACTAAAAGAAAGGCACATTGGAATGCAACACACAAATTTAATTATAAGTCCCAAAATGAAATTTTATACTACAAAAAATTAGTCACAAGACATTGGTAATATAAATATAAATAAAATAAAAGGTAGAATCAGTGCTAAAAGTTTGAACTAAAAAAGGTTTGAATCAAATTATATTTAGAACCAAATCAGCCATTTTTGTCGCCTAAGCGTCAAGCCAACTTACTCTTGGGATTATCTTTAGCATTATTCTCAGAAATTTGTTTAAAAGACAGCAATAACTATTCAAAATTAATAATTGAAGAAAAAAAAAATGGTTCAACCTAAATAAATTGGCAAACCACAAAGTTCTCATTACTTGGGCGTTTACAGCTAAGTAGCACCGGCTAGTCATCTCCATTCTTCATTACGTCAACAATAATGGCCTAATTACAGGAAGGCACCAGGTTGACCACTAATAAACTAATAATTCCGGATAAAGCCAAGCAATTGTGTGGAAAATGGAAATTAAGAAACGAGGGATGTGGATATGTGTACCTTATGAAAATTGATATTGTCATCAAATGGTACAAAATATCCCAGCCAGGTCGACCTTATCCAAGTGATGGTATTTCTACATACGGGCAGCAAAATGATGGCCATGTTGAACTTCAGGGTCTCAGCCGCACCCTTAGCCGTAAGAAGACAGTAGCCCATGACCTCGTACGCTGCCTTGCGCTTGTATTGGAAGAATTTCCACGCGAAAAGGCCAACCATGATCGTGACCCATAAAGTCAACACCCATATTCTCCTCCAATTCTCCTGCAAATAGTAGAGCAGTTTTGTACTTAGCCTTGTTATGGGGCCTTTGCTCCTTAGTCCCTGTATGTTCTGGCTCAGTGCTTGGCTGGTATAGCTGAGGGCTTGACTGTAATTCAGATACGTGTCCTTCTGTAGCAAAAGGGTTTCCAATTGCCACAGCTGCACCACGCGATCACCACACAAATTGCAAAATCGTCATTATTTAAATCATTAACAAACTTCAACAAAAATTAGTCAAACCATTGATGTAGTTAATTAAATATTTAAATGTATAAAAGGGATTTAGGCAGCCAACTACATCTCCAAGTTAATAGAACAACCCAATCGATAAATTAAATTTTGTTAAAAATTAAATAAAAAATAGTTCGCAGCCGATTGTAATTTCTATATTATAAAGCTAAAACACCATCAACCATAATAAATATTTAGACATGTCACAAGTCAAAAGGATGTGGCATTTCAAATATTAAGATTTCAAGCCAACAACTTTTTGGGGAGAAAAGTCAAAAGTATTACGAGACGCTCTTATTTAGAAAACTATTTTGCAAAAAACTATCTTTCTAAATAATTAAAAAAAAAAAAAAAAAAAAAAAAAAAAAAAAAAAAAAAAAAAAAAAAA